TTCTTCATTGCATACAGCTTGACAAGACGCCTACCAAAAATGCAGTTTGGGCAATGAGTGAAACATAAGGACTGATTAAAGAAGTCACCATACATCCTGGGTCTACCAGTTGAGGGAGGATATTAATGGAAACATAAAATTATAGGAGACATTCTTTTTTGTCCTCTCCAAGTATAGTACCAGTAAGTGACAATAGCCACATACACGAAACATACCAAAGAACTGACCCTCATTTGAGTTTTATTTGTGGCTGCAAGCAACCTCCAAACTAAAGATCATAAATTACAGAATAATTTCAATGTACCACGTGAAGGTTCAGCAATTTCCATTACCCTGTTATTAAAACTTCCATCTTTTTAAAGGGTTGTGTATTGCCTTCATTATTGAATTTGGTACCAACTGTCAAGAAATAACCAAATAAAATTAATAAACCTTAATTTGTTTCATTTTTACTATTTCCCCTTCCAAAGTTAAAAGGCATAATTTTTAATGTATTTTTCTCCACTATTCCTCAAGCAAATTAGTAAAACAAATATAAAATCAAAACATAACTGTAATATTACACAAGACAGTTCATTTTCCTTCAATAACTTAATCTGTTCCAAAATATTTCTGTCCAAAATGTGTAGGTGCAACAGGATGAACTTCAGTAGTTAAAATTGTGATCTCTGGAAATTCTTGAATGATTGATTTGGCACCTTTAAAAAATAAAAGAAAAATTGTTGTTACTGCAGGATTTTTGTAACACTAGTTGGAATTTAGGAATTTTATGGTCATTGTAACTAGACCTAATATTGACAGAGAACAATGCCCTTTGGATACCTAGTCAGACATGGTTAATTTCTTTATTTATGTAATATCTGATATCTGAAAAGTTTGATAGTGGTCAGACTATGCCCTAGCCCTTCAATACATTTTTAGAATCAAATTGTTTTATATCCAAGATTTGAAAAATAGTTTTTCACTTATAGCAACTTCTCTCCTGAAGAGTCTCTTTTGTTTTATTTTAAAGGCAGCTGGAGAGAGTGAATAGAGTCCTTCCTTAAAAGAGGATCACACATAAAAGGAAGGTTTCTCAACTAGAACACTGTGAAATAAATGCAAAGACTTCTTTGGTGTGTTAGAGCAAGTTAGTTTTTTAGAAGGACTCTTACTTTGAAGGAGGGGTCGGGCAGGGAATTAGGACTAACTGAGACAGTTAAACTAAAAAGCCAGAACAAAGTTGTCACAGAAAGATTTTTTTAGCTATAATGTCAAAGAATAGCATACTATTCTAATGCCACCAGTGTTACATATATATATGAAGGACAATCAAGGAAATTCAATTTTGTCACCACCAATGTTTGTATTACAGGTAATTTTTGGTTACAAAAGAACAAAGTAATCAAACAGGCCACAATTCCTCTAAGCCTTCCTAACTAGAAATGCTGTAGCTTCTTCAGGGTTGGCTGAGACTTTAGAACATTTTGGAAATGAGAAATACTCTGACTAGAGAAGCCATTCTGTTCACTTTTTTTTTCAATTATAAAGTAAAATAGGAATTCACTGTAGAATGCTTAGACAATTTGCCAACAAGCTTAAAATAAATGAAAGTGACTTAGAATCTCACCCACCCTAAAATAACCAGGTTGAAAACCAAATTGAAATGTATTGTGTATCTGCCTAGCCACTCATGCTGAGGAAAGATTTATCAGGTAATAGTTAAAATCAAGTCTGCTTTGGTAGTTAAAATCTTTAGTCATAACTTATATTAGTCATCTCTAAAGTTGGTAATATTTCACAGTACTCTAATGCTGTTATTGCTCAAACTGCTTTTTCACATTTACCATCTACATTTTTGATGTCATTAAATATTTTTCAAAAGTAAGATTTGAAGGTCTGGAGGCATGGCTCAAGTGGTAAAGCACCAGCCTTGCAAGTATGAAACTGGAATTCAAACCCAAATATTTCAAAAAAATTTTAAAAATAAGATTTGACAGTTATATATTATAGCCTCTCTCTCTTTATGTATATATGTGTATATATATACATTATATGTATATATATACACATATATATTAATGTACCCATTTCCTTGTTAGTCAATTATATAATTTCAATTTTTCTTATACTAAATAACCTTATAATGAACATCCTAGAAAATAAATTTCTATATGCATCTATCATTGTTTTCTTATATATTCCTATTTGTCGTAGATCATTTGGTAAAAAAGCTAAAGCCTTAACTTAGGTACATCTCTCACAGGAAATGGAAAACACAGTTTTCTCACCATGCCCTTTGAGCACCAGTCTAACTTTAAAAACTTCTGATCTTTACTTCACATTCCAAAGTTTACTTCAGTAAGATCACATGGCTAGATAGACTCTCAAATTTCTTTCTGTTTGGGAGCTGTTCTAAGGCTCGGGTGGGAAATCAGAGAAAACAGAAACTTTTTAACCATTTGCAGGCTCTCTCCAAAGAAGGCCACCAGGGAAAGGATTGCAAGTCTTTTGAATGGGGTTAAATCATACTTCTCATTTGAATGGTGTAAATTAAGCTGGACACAGTGGCAGATCATGGCTATTGAGGAGGTTGAGGCAGGAGGATCACATGAGTCCAGGAACTCAAGTACAACCTGGGCAATGTAGTAAGACCCCTTCTTAAAAAAAAAAACAAAAAAAAAATATGTTGGTTATGCTCCTGTGGCCCACGCCTGTAGGAGGCAGAGATCAGGAGGGAGGATCACAGTTCAAAGCCAGCTGGGGTAAATAGTTGTGGGACCCTATCTCAAAAAAACCCATTACAAAAAAAAGGGCTGGTGGAGTGCTCAAGGTGTAGGCCCTGAGCTCAAACCCCAGTACTGAAAAAAAAAGAATGTTGTAAAATATTATCACTAAACTTAGAGATGACAAACACAAGTTATAACTACCAAAATTAGATTTAAATTTGATATGGATGCAATTAAATGTTTCCTCAGGATGAGAGGCTAGACAGACGCACACTTACCCATCTCATGACCATCTGGAGCTTCAGTTACTGCCTCATCTTGAACTCACCATGAGGAGTGGAGAAGAGACTGAGTAGGATAATAACACTAGGTTGAACTCCATGTTCTATAAGAACCTTTACAGCTTCAATTACAGTATTTCCAGTGCCTAAAATAAAAAGACAACCCAATGCATTAGCAGGATTAACATTTATTTCAAAATATCTTTGGAGTAAGGGCAATATAGTAATCTAACATATGACTGATCACTAGGCAAAGCTTCATGTGCAGGTGCCTGTTCTTTATCAATGTTATTTTAATAATGGACATGACATACAGAGTTTTCAAATGTACAGCGAGCCCTAATTTCATTTATTATTTGAGATATCAAATTTAACATATCCCCCCTCACCTTTTTGGGAGACCATACATGATCTGAGAAATCTTAGGAAGGAAAACAGAGTAACAGAAAAAAGTACTATCTCCAGAGTATAAAGTCTTGAGAAAATCACTGCAATACTCATTAGGCCAGAGAGGTGACATGTTTCAATATATTTTCTTTGTTCTATATATTTTATCTCATTAGGTCTTTTGCTTCAATGTGTTCAAGACATAAGCTCTTTGAAGCTAATAAAGTTTGTCTAATTTATTCACTTATTACACAATGAAAATTTTCCAGTGAACTACTCAGAGAAACTTCAAATTCAACAGAGAAAAACACATTTAGAAACTCTTTTTGTCTTTCATATAGAGGTACAAGGAGTAAAGGATTAAGCTGAATTTAAACCCTAATGGAAAATTACAAATTAAACTCAAGTCACTCACTGAGAATTGGATACATCAGAAGGACTTTTCTCCGGTAAATGTCTGGGGGGAACTTGGCATAATACACTTTGGCTCTTTGTGTCTCCTCATCACTCTGAATCAGGATCTTTCCAATTCTTATGGATCGACAGCAGTCTCGTAACCCTTGTTCCATTGCCTCACCTTGAAGAAAGAAATAAAAAGCAGAGGGAAAAGGAGTTGGGAAGACAGAGTGAAACTTCAAGAACAGGCCAAAGCAGAGTTGTGACTGTTATTAATACAATAATTATTAATAAAGGACACTGTCAATAAGGATGCATTCTTCTGGAGCTAACAGCTTTCCCTTTTGATATACTCTATTTGTTTTCTGCGTACGTCAATAAAACAGGTTAAAGAACAGGCCAAGACAGAAAACACATAAAAAAATGCTCACATCTTAGCAATAAAGGAAATGCAAATTAAAACCACGCTAAGATTCACCTCACCGCCTGTTAGAATAGCCATCATCAGCAACACCACCAACAACAGGTGTTGGAGAGGATGTGGGGAAAAAGGAACCCTCTTACACTGTTGGTGGGAATGTAGACTAGTACAACCACTTCTGGAAAAATATTTGGAGGCTACTTAAAAAGCTGGACATCGATCTCTCATTTGATCCAGCAAATACCACTCTTGGGGATATACCCAAAAGACTGTTACTCCAGAGCACCTGGCACATTCCATGTTTATTGCAGCACTATTCACAATAGCCAAGTTATGAAACAGCCCAGATGCCCCCTACTGACAAATGGATTAAGAAATGTGGTATCTATACACAATGGAATTTCATGCAGCCATGAAGAAGAACAAAATGTTATCATTCGCTGTAAATGGATGGAATTGGAGAAAATCATTCTGAGTGAGGTTAGCCTGGCTCAAAAACCAAAATCGTATCGTTCTCCCCTCAATGTGGACATTAGATCAGGCAACACAACAAGGGGATTGGACTATGAGCACAAGATAAAAGCGAGAGCACACAAGGGAGGGGGTGAGGATAGTAAACACCTAAAAAACTAGCTAGCATTTGTTGCCCTTTAACGCAGAGAAAACTAAAAGCAGATACCTTAAAGCAACTGAGGCCAATAGGAAAAGGGGAACAGGTACTAGAGAAAAGGTTAGATCATAAAAGAATTAACCTAGAAGGTAACACCCACGCACAGGAAATCAATGTGAGTCAATGCCCTGTATACAGCTATCCTTATCTCAACCAGCAAAAACCCCTTGTTCCTTCCTATTATTGCTTCTACTCTCTATAAAAAACTAGAAATAAGGGCAAATAGTTCTGCTGGGTATGGGGGGAGGAGAGGGGGGGCGGAAGTGGGTGGAAGGGAGGGGTGGGGCAGGGGAGAAATGAACCAAGCCTTGTATGCACTATATGAATAATAAAAGAAAAATGAAAAAAAAATAAAGACAGGCCAATGAACTAAGATAAGCTAGTTTTATTGCTGGCTTAGAAGTTTTAGAGCTGTCAGTTTTCATGATATAAGAGATAAAATGTTTTGCTGAGCTACTCCCTGAGATTTTCAAACTCAGAACACTTTTATTATTTTAAAGAAGAGTTTAAAGCCCCTAACTCGTCACTTTCATCGAAAAACATATAAAATTTATAGGCAGAATAGAGGCAATAGGGCAAAGGATCTCCTTTTAGGTAAAGGTGGATCAGGAAGACAATCATTAGCTCAGCAATGACTTCACTGCAGAGGCTTTGCTGCAAACATTGAAAAAAGTACAGGATAGTAAAAAGAAAAAATACAGTATTGTTCTCCCTTCCCCAAAGAACCACCCTCCCCACACTGATTTGTAAACTCAGAGCTACTTTTGAGTCTGAATTCTTTTAAAGAAGTGTTTGCCAAAAGTAAATCACTCCCATACAATTTTCAAGGTTTTAGGCCATTAAAAACAAGTTTTTCTTATTGTTGTGCTGGGTAGGAGTACATTGTGGCATTTACAAAAGTTCTTACAATGTATCAAATATATCATCCTTAAAAGATTTTAGGCCATATTAGAATTCTACCAGTACTGGTACTTACTTAATTTTTTTAAATTAACTGTTTACTCTAAGAGGAAATTTCATAGCACTATTAAACATAAAAACCTGTTTTCTTCCTAATAAATATGAAAATCAACAGGTGACTATGAGGTTAAGCAAACAACTCTGTTAGCAGGATGTGTGGCTCACATCTCCTAATCCTACGATACTCTGAAGCGAGATCAGGAAGGATCATGGTTCAAGGCGTCTGGGCAAGAAATTCATGAGATCGTGTCTCAGCCAATAAACGCTGGTGTGGTGAGATGTACCTGTCATCCCAGCTATGAGGGAAGTGTAAAATAGAAGGATCTGGTCCAGGTTAACAGGGCATAAACTTGAGACCTATTAGAAAAATAACTAAAGCAAAAAGGGCTGGAGGCATGGATCAAGTGGTATAACTGGCTAGTACATGTGAGGCCAAGTTCAACCCCCAGAACTACACAAACAAAACAAAACAAAAAACCCTCTGGATACAATCTCCATCAGTCCCTTCAAACAAAACCACACACACACAAAAACAGCAAACAAAAACCCAGCTCTGTTTTGTATCACCTAAGTCATCCGGTACACACATTAGGGGTGCAAGGACCAATGCGGGTGCTTTTAGGGAAGGAGCTGGGATTGAAGAAAAGAACTGTTCACTGTCTTCACCAATTTTCAAAGTTGAACAACATTGTCCTGAGAATGCTACAATGGCTTAATAGCTTCCTTCATTAAAAAGGGAGTTTAAATCCCTGTTTGAGTTGTTCACAAACTCAACTTCATTACCAGAGAAGAAAAATGAATGTTTATTTGCCTTTATATATCAATTTCCAGCATGAGTGGGGCTTCCACCATTTGGGCAAAAAATACAAATATTAAGTTTGCTGAAGGGAAATAATCATTCCTGTGTAACAGGTAAAGGTTCTAACTACAGGCATGCAATTTTGCTACACAAAGTTTGGTTTAGAAGGGCAAACAGTTGGACTCGAAACACAAATACAACATTTATAAGCCAGTAAATGGAAATACCTAGAGTTAATAACAGCTAGTAGTTTGCCTATATGGTCACATACTCATCAAACATAAAATTAAAAATATTAAACAAGTCATTCAGTCCAGGTCTTGGCAGAGTTCCCTGCAACAGAAATAAAACCAGAACAAATATTTTCTTCAACCAGGAATCCAAAAGTTCTTCAGGCCCAAATATTATGCAATATTTTTCAAACTGCTCTGTTTCTTCCAAGACAGCATCTGCATCCTCCTATTTCTCCACCCTCTCCTGAACCTTCTAAAAGATGGCTTGCCCACAGGAGCAGGCCACTAGGAAGATGCTCTGGAGTTAAAATTTGCCACATTTAGCAGCACACAGGCCATGATTCCAACACACCATGAGGTCAGTCAACACAGGTGGTGAGATTTAAGCAAAAGCAGGCTGCAATTATGACAGACAAACCTGACCTCTCCCCTGGAAAACAGCCGACTGTTTCTATTGTGTGCAAAAGAGACCAAAAATCACAGATATGAAGAACCTACCGCTTCTCAGTTATGCTGACCTCCACAATTTCCCTCTCAAACTCAACTCTTCCAATTTTGTACCTTGTTAGGAACAGGAAAAAACCAAAGAATTAATCTTCCATTGTGAGCAACCTACCTTAAGTCGTATAATGTGCCTATGGTGTCAAGCAGATGAGTACAGAAGCAACTTGTCCAAAGACACACTGTATAACACCTTGAGGTTTCCCTGTGAAAGTAATGAAATAAAGTCATGATTTT